AAGCCGAATATAACAGTTGAGCGACCGTGCTAGAACCACGGAACTCGGGAATGCCTAACACCTTCTCCCGGGTTAACAGAATTCCTTATCCGGATTTCTGGTACGCATACTGTAATACAGAGTCATTCTTTTCCTCGATTCGGGATTAAAATTGGTGACTTGGGACACCCTAAATCTCTCAAGTGGCGACTCTGAAATAAACAAACAAATCCCATTTCGATTGTCCTTTAATTGGAAAAAACTCCTTGTACCCTCGCGGGGCGGAAAAAGGAGGTGTGACATTGGCTCTTAACTATTAAATGATTAAAAATGGGAAAAAGGGGAAATAATTCAAATAGTTGGCTTGCCTTGCTTTCACTAGTAAGCGCCATCATGACTCCCGAGGGTGGGGAAATCCGGATCGTGACATACTATGGTTGTCTTTTTAAGCAGCTTGATTCTTGCTGATTTGAATTGAATGAAATCTGCTATATATATATATNATTTACAAGTGGTCATTCAAAAATAACCAGCGTTTCAAAAATCATCGAAATTTAGCCACTTTTCATGTAAAGATAAATCTGAACGAAAGCATTGTTCAAAATCTAGAAAATATTCAAGTATATTATATTGGAGTTACAACAAAGTATATTGAACTCCAGTATATTATACTGGAGTTCAATATACTTTGCTGTAACTCCAGTATATTATACTAGAGTCAGCAAAGTATACCAGTCCAGTATAATATGGTGGAAGTTCATGCACAGGTGCACCGAACTCCAGTATATTATGCTGGACCGGTCTCTGTTGCAGTAAAATAGTGGGTTTTTTCAATGATCTGGCAAATACTGATTATTTTTGAATGACCCGTCCAAAAACTGGCTAGACGTCCTATTTTAACTTAATTAATGCTAATCTTTTGTAGTATTATGTTTTGGTTTCGGCAGCTGACGAATTGGGTTTTGAGACTTTCCTGCATTGATATTGGGTCGGTAGAACAAACTGACCTAATGACCCGCCCAATTACAATTAGTCTTCAACTACAAATCTAAATTCTAATGACACGTCATTCGTGAATGTGAGTCCTAACATTCGTCATTGATGACGTGGGAAGTAGTCAATTGGTGGTCTATGCTAAGAGAAAGTCTAAAACGTGAAAAGGTAAAGACAAAATCCAGTTGGTATCCTATTTCTCTTTTTCTTTCTCACATCTCATCTCCATAATTTTCATGACATTAAATGATTGGCAGATACATTTATTATAATTAAAAATATTGATAAACGTGTTGAATTTTTTTGGTGGTTATGAGTTCGTCCAAAATTAATTACACGTGTCATCTATTTATGAAAAAAATAAGACGGATAATAAAATTAAATAATGATATGTAAGTTTAAGTACGACAATTTTTTCTATAACTTTTACTTTTTGAGTGATCCAAAGCTTAGTTCGTCGAGTGAGTGATTTTCACTTAAGAGACTTGTAATCAATTTTCATTACCAACAATATCCTCAACCAGAGCTCGACACAACAGACTTGTCTAGTGTAGTTTATATTTTTTATGTGATTTGGAATTTATTGCACAGTTAACAAGTTAATTAATGCGTACTCAAAGGACCTGTTAGGGTTTTTCGTGCTTTTCCACTGAATCCACATAACAACTTCTAATTTTTTAAATTTGTAATAACGTATCGGTTAAATTTCATTTGTTACTTGCACAAACAAGTAAAATAGCTAAATATAACAATCATGTTTCCCATTAAAAACTACTTCAATATGAGTTTATTTTCATAGTTGATTTAAAGGGTTTTTTTGGCACTGCCACAATGATTTAAGAGTTATTAAATATAAATAAAAGTTCAATTAGTAATCTAAAAATTAATTTATTTACTATAAAAATTATTTATACTATTAAGTGAGTAGTATATTGATTTAAATTTAAAGTTATGACAGAAGGGTTTGTATACGGGTAAAATCGGGGATAATGCATACCCCGATTTCCCGATGAAGAAAACGGAAAAAGGGCATGGACACACGAGATTGAAATAGAGGCGGGGAGCCCTTCGTATCGAGATCCATGAACGGTGAACGATGTGTTCATCATCGGGCATGATAAAGCGACACTCCGTGGACTAGGGATGTCAATGGTTCGGTTCGACCGGTTATTTTATAGAATTTGTACCATACTAATTTTCCGATTATTCTATTATGTATAACCAAAATTAGATTTTTCAAAACAGTCCCAATCATGTCGGTTTCTCTTCTGTATCGGTACAATTCGGTTAATTTTTTAAATGTCATATAAAATTCACCGGTAAAAGTAGAATGCAATAACATACCTACTTTTATAGGACTTAGCAAAACTCTCTAGACATTTTTATAGTTTAAAATGTGATGAATTAAGAAAATATGAAAGATGACCAAAGTATAGATCCATCAACTATTCTACAACAGCGTAAAAGAAACTAAGCAAATATAAAGAAAATATAAATACACGAGTTGAAAGATAATAACCAAGTTGGTATTCAAGAATAAAGTTTATAGAAGATTAAATATTTAAAAAGATAAATGTAAATCATACGAAAGGAAACATATTTAATATATTGTAGTATGCTACTCTTAATCACTACAATACTTTGTGTTTTGCTAGTGAATATGCTGGACATAATTTAGTTTCAATAAAGTAGCATAATAGGTTTGGAAATTAGGATTTTGAGTTTAATTTTTTGTTGGCTTGTAATCGTTTCATAATTCTAAGGCCCAAGAAAAAATTTTAATATTTTATTATTTTTAAACTTAATATATAAATATATTTTTCACATTGTAAATTTATTCGGTACAATTCGGTATTTTTCGATTTATTTTTATAAAATAAAAAACCTACCCTAATTATCGGTACGGTTATATATTTATATAAAAACTTACGATTTTATTAAAAGAAACCTAAAAATTGGTTCGGTACGGTACGATTAGGTCGATTTAGTCGATTTTTAAATATCCATTGACACCTCTACCCTGGACCCATAATGAGTTCTAAAGCCTCGGGAAACATGGTAAACGAGAAAAGATAGAGGGTCATGGTATTCGTACCTAACCGGATATCACGACACATATCTCGCTCGATGTCGGTTACAGATCAGTAATTAACGAGAAAAGAAGATTTTTACCTTATTTAGACTTATACTAGGGATGAAAGGGGAAGTTTTTTTTTTTTTTTGGTAAGACATATTGTAACACGCAAATTAAAGCAATACAAATTCATTTTTTTTTGCGTTCTAGCTACTGTTTAATTGTTCTGTTCTTCATTCACAACTGGGCTCGAACCAAGGGTCCAATCGAGGGCAAAGTTACTGTTCAACCTAGGCTCGGGCTAGGCCATAACATTACAACTGGTTTGATCGTTTATTTTGTCTCTAACTTATTTAGTTAATATTTTTAACTATTTGTGTTGAATCAAACCACATATCCGGATAAACAAGGTTATTGCTAATATTAGTGTGTCGAGCTAGAACGTGAAACATATTTTTGTGGATCAACCTAGATAGCTCGATTGGGTGGGGACCTGCTGGGTCAAAATCGTAGAATTAATTATGACTGTGGAATTCTAATATGCGTAATTTCGCAGTGATAGGTACTTGTGTGCTGCTACGGAACGGAACAATAGTCGTGACACGATAAAATTTCAATCCAAAGGAGAAGGAACTAGACACTCTTCCTTCTTTTTCTCTCCTTTTATTATCCATCCATTTCCATTTACTTACAAAAGAAGCATAAAAAAAAACGTAATATCCATTCCCGTTGGCTATTGCCACGGCGCATTGATTCGCTACTCTCTCTCCGATACAGGCGCCGTACGATCTGGCCGGTGAGTGCTCATCGCTCTTTGATTTTTTTACTGTAACTTACTTTTTTGTTGCGGAGTTTTTGTTTTTCCATATTTGTTGTATTACTGAAAGTGTAATTTCTATATTTCAATTGTTTCGCATGTTAGGTGTTTGTTAAATGTTCGGATTCGATACTCTCCATTATGAAAAGCATCGATTTAGTAACTTACTTTTTAGTTGCGGAGTGTTATTTTTGTTCCTTGTACTAATAAATAAGTGATAATTTGATGCTGTTCTTAAATAGAAAGTATCGATGTTTTTTTGCTCTAGTAACTTGATGTAATGTAGTCATCTGTAGCAAACCTTTGATGATTTATGAAGTAGCAGCAGAATGATGAACTCAGGAATCAGGATCATGCTGCTTAGATATTAACGAAGTAGCAGTGAAGTTTAACTGCATTTCTATCTCTGTGTTTCTACTGTAGTGCGGTAACTTTATTGATAAGGTGAGCTCATATGTGGAATAGTAGAATTAAATTTAGCTGCTAATATATCTGTGTGTTTCTGCTAAATCCGGTAAATGATCTGTATAGCAGAATTAAAGTTATCTATGGTAAATGATCTGCCGTGAAACTTAACTGCTAATTTATCTGTGTGGTTTACTGTAATGCGGTAACTTTTCCAATAAGGTGAACTAATATGTGGTAATGATCTGTATGTAACAGAATTAAGTTCTAGATGCAACAGCGATATGAAATTTTCACCTGTAATGCTCCTGTAAGAGATATGTTTACAGAAAACAGAAATCTGTATAAACTTACCTGCGATTTAAGTCTGTCTTATAAATTGAACGCTGAGATTGCCACGTTTGCAATTCTGCAGTTTGAACTCAGAAGAAGCAAAAATTTCTTGTCAAAAGGGGAAAAAAAAACTTATTTTGCCAATTTGAATAAAGATAGGTGATAGAATCCGTGATCCCAGGTCTACTATTAGTTGACGTCCTGATTTGGTTATAGCCGTAACAACAACAACATACCCATACCCAGTATTATCCTACACCGTGGGGTCTGGGTTATAGCAGTAACATAATTGTAATTTACCTTCCACTTGCACTTATAGAAGCTTTACAAAGTTGCAAACCTTTTAACAATGTAAAATTATGATTTACTTGATGCGGGATATTAGTAAATATTTAGCTAATATTGCAGCAACAATTTAATTCCATGTGTCTCCAGCAGGATGCAGCTCCATCCAACTGCTGATACTACTGCTTTGGATTATTGGTTGAACTGGAGGTTCTTGCTTTGTGCAATATGGGTCTTGGCACCAACAGTTATATCATTGATCTTTATATGGAAGTATGAACTATCACTTAATGTCAATCCAGAATCTGATGGAAGGGAGGATTGCCAGAAAAGGTCTTGGCTTTTGTATTTTGACAAAGCTTGGAGACCATGCGTGAGAACAATAAACCCAATTTGTCTGGCGACTTTCCGAGTATTTGCACTTGTTTTACTCACAGCAGTGATTGTAGCTGATTTTGTTGTTCATGGAAGTGACATGTTTTACTATTATACTCAGTAAGTAATCCTGCTCGTAATGCTTAGTATGTAGCACCATATAGGTTCAATGTTCAGGACCGTGTGAGAGTTTTTCTTTTTCCCCCCTGATAAGTAAGGTTGAGAGTGGTTGTTTTTGTTGGAGTGTATCCTATTACAACTTGCAAGTTTTGTATCTTATATGTACATAAATATATATAAGCTTTATTGCTTTACCTAGGGAAAGAAATGCACTATGTGCTTTAAAATGGAGTTCCTCTCTTTACACTACTCATGATGTATTGGTTTCTGCAGATGGACATTTGCTTTGACTACCATCTATTTCTGGGTATGTATCTCAGTTCCAGTTTACTTCCTTGAATTTATATCATTTACTAACTCTATTAGGGTATGTACATACTAGATGTTTTTGACCTGTCAAATATATATGTGTGTGATTGCATGCTACATAAATATCCTTACTTTCGCTTGCATTATGCTGCTAGTGAAATATCTTTTCCCTAACATCATGCTTTTGTAACTGTCTGTAGTTTGGATCAGTACTTTCCATCTATGGCTGTTACCGGTATAACAAAGCAAACAATGGTGTTAGCAAAATGCAGATGGATGTGGAGCAAGGGTTACTTGAGTCCCTTATAAGCACAGACTATATGAATGGCGTCAAGATAGTGAACAGCATAGATTACAAGGGAATACTTGCTGTTCCTGAAATTGCTGGACAATGTGGCTATCTCTTCCAGATTCTTTTCCAGGTATGACATTCTTCTTAGAGGACCCAGACAAGGTTTCTAATAGGTAGAAAGTAGAAACTGCTGCTTCATTTACTATAAATGCTTCTTTTGACGCAACACAGTTTTATTCTGCCTGTTTATGTATGTTTTTTTGTAATTTTGAGAACATCCTCCCAGTTTCGTATGCTTGTGAAATATAATCCCACAACTTGAAGTCATTAACATATCTAGCTGTCCAAATGAGAATCTCTGCACTTACTGTTACAAAGTACTTTTTGATTAGCAGTTATGTTCCTGGAAGTCTCTCGTAGTTGGCGGCTTTATTTGCAATTTGTTGGAGATAATTGTATAATTCGAATCATTTCTATGCCCGTCTTTTCTCTACAGATGGCTGCTGGAGCGGTGATGCTCACTGACTCTGTTTACTGGTTTGTGATCTTCCCATTTCTTACGCTCAAAAACTACGAGTTTAACTTTGTAAGTATCTGGTATTTCAAAGGATCTCTCTGGTTCCATTCTTTGTTTCTGTCGGTTGCTTAATAGTTAATACCAACTGCTAAACTAACACTTGATTTGAGATTTTTGAGATGTTTGCCTTTATTTCAAACATATAACCATGAGTTTGCTGTAACAGCCTCCTGTATGTCAACTTTGTTCCGTTTGGGAACCACCTTTTTCTCTCTAATATGGGCGCTTATGCCAGAGCTACCAACTATTAAGTTCTTTGCTTTCTGGTCTCATATGTCTTAGATTTTTGTTTTGATGGCCGAGGCTTTATGATGCAGTCCTTTCTAAATTTCCAAGAGAAAAGATGAAGCAAGTCAACATGCAGAACTGCTCCTTTCTCTCTGTTCCTCTTCTTTGGATCTCTGAAACACATTTCCTCCTCTAGTATAATTGGAGGAATTAAAGATTAGGCCGTTATATCTCCAAGCCTCATTGAGTTATATGCGATGTAGCTCCTTCTTCTCCGTTTCTGATGTTGTTATTTCCTCAGGCCTTTTATGTGAAAAATGTGCTGAAGCTATATAGTTAATTTTCTTGCATATTATATCAATTGTAGTAGTTTCACCATATTAGTAGTTGTTGAAAAATTAGTTTGATATGAAACCCATCATCTCTTGGTTTAAATTTGAGCAGTGTAATCAATTTAAATTCCCTGAACATCATAAGTTGGGTGAACAGATTCAGAAAATTATTGTGAAATATTTGGTATCTTCCCAAATATGAAGTGAGTCATATGAATCAAGACATGGGTAGGACGGTCTAATTCTATAGTCGCTTGGGATCTTTTGCCCCTTTGTTAAGCTAAATAATATTTCTCTCTTCTTTTTTTCTTTTCAGTTTACTGTTGTTACACATTCGCTAAATGCTGTCATGCTCCTTGGTGATGCATCTCTGAATTCCTTGGTAAATGCTCTTATTTTGCTTGTTTTCCAGTTCTTGTGAAAATATCATTTAGGACATTTTTTCATTAACTCTCTAAGTTGTTCTTCCAGAGGTTCCCTTGGTTCCGGATTTTTTACTTTGTCGTATGGACTGGTGTTTATGTCATTTTCCAGTGGATAGTTCATGCCTGTAAATCATTTTGGTATGTTTCATCTCAGTTTGTTTATGATTTAATGAATACATCTCATTCTTCTAACTGGTTTTCTCCTTCTATTTTTGTTTCTTTCAGGTGGCCCTACCCCTTTCTTGACTTATCTTCAATATATGCTCCTGTGTGGTATGTGTTCTCTTAGGATATATATTCTTTACTAGTCTTAGAGTATGCGCTTTGCGCGTGTAATCATATTAATGAATACAAAGCTTCAAAGAATTAGATTAATATTATCCATCTGCTTTAATTTAGTTTAACTGGATACAGAATTTAAGAAAGTAGAAAAGAAAGACTTTTGAAACTTGTGATCCTGCACATACCATACTATTTGACTGGCTATAACTATGTGTCATTAAAGATAAAATAAAATATTTATGTTTAATTATTTTCAAATTTAAAAGTACTATTAAATTTTTAAACAAACTAAAAAAGAAATAGTATTATTCTTTTTGGAATGAATAGAGTATCAAATAATATATTTGATCTCAAAAAAGAAAGAAATTTTGCACCACAAAAGTTCTTAGATGCTAAGAGTTTAGTTAATTGAAAAATACTTTTACTCATGTGATGAATTTAAAAAAGAACTAAATTTAATTTTTTTGCCAATCAGTTAATGTAAAAGATTTAGTTATTTCTTTTCTACATTAAAGGTAACTTAATTTAAACAATTGATTATTTTTTCCTCAAAGTTAAATGTAATAACTTATTTTTCATTATTCAGATTTTAAATATCAGCTCATCACAAATTTTTATAATTTCAACTGCAATTATAATTTTTTCTACTAAGCATTCTACTCTCAAAGAATAAAAGTTTGATCTGACATTTGAATCTTTATTTTTATTGACTCTTGCCAACAACTTTTTTTTTTCTCTTTTATATTCTTAAATGGTTTTATTCGTTCTAATTATTCAATGTAGTTTTAAAATAATGCCTTACACAAAACAATGAATAAAAGCTTCCTTTAAATGGGAAAATAATTTGTTCGACATGATTGTGTTAAGTATTCAATTTATAATTAAAGAGAACAATGGACTGTGAAATAGACTTTGTTCCAAAATGAATTGTTATCGTATGTTCCTTCTCGTATTATCTTACTCCATAATATGTTTGTGTGCTTTTATTCCTTCTCGTAGTTCCTAACTAATTTCATATATTTGTTGATTTCCTGCTAATTCAACTAATTTCTATCTTTTAATAAATGAAATAAGTTAATTCTAAAGCTATAATACTAAAAAAATTAACGTGGAAGGGTTCAAATAAAGAAAGGATATATGTAAGTTGAAATGTTTAACAAATTTTAAGGTCCTAAATTTTAGAACTTTCTGCATAATTCAAATAAAGAAAATTGTATTGATTAAAATTTTAGCTGCTTTTAAACACCTAAATTTTAGGAAAAATTATCAAATTACAATTTTGTCTAATGTGAAATTTATTTTTAAAGGGTAAAAAAGGCGAACGACATTTCACGTGCTTTTAATATAGTATAGATAGATATAGATATAGATCATGGTGACCGTATATGATAAATTACCAATCCTTCTTGCAAATAAAATTGTAACAGTTGGTTTCTTTGTAATAGCCACATTCAAGGCTTCTCATTTCTGAACCTTGTGTTAAACACTTCTCATTTTTTCTTGGAAAACTCAAGTGCTAAAACTTTCTTCTGTCTTTCCATGCTGTTAGTTAATGTTTCCTGAATGAATTCTGTCCTTTTTGTGTCTTTTTCTTGCTGGTATGTATCTTTGAATACGGGCAAAATAATTTCTTGCCAAACTAATTTGTTTCTGTATTGATTCTGGGGCAGGTATTTGTTGGTGGCTTTACTGCATATTCCGTGCTATGGAATTTTTGCATTACTTGTTAGACTTAAACAGTATGTGCTATGGAGATGGTTCCCCCAATCATAGAAGTGTCTGAGAAATGATCATCCCGAGTTGGTCACTTCCAAAGTTAAGGCGTCTCGTGTTCCTTAAATGGTGAAGATGGTGTTATTTGAGAGTGCAGGATAAGTTTTCTGGGGCAGATTTCCTGCAGCGTGTCAGCCAAGTGGGTATTGATTCAGTTAAGAATTAAATCAGTAGCTATTGTTGGAAGTACGTTGACAGCCTTCTTTTATCTGCAATTTGACCACCCTCTAATTCCTTGAATGATCGGCTATTATACTTTCTGGACGCTAAGTTCGTCTGATTCAAAATTGTGTATACCTTTCACAGGCAAAAGCTACTTAGTTTTTCTAAGAATTTTGATTGGATTTGTACACAAAGGATGCGGTTTCATTTTTTGCTCTTTAAATAGATGCCTATATTACCTGCTGCCTGAAAGAATTACCATAAATCACTGTCCATTTTTCCTCGAGTTTTTTGAAGGTCTCCCAAGCTTATTCAGCTAGGACTTGGACATAGAAACTTGGCTCTTGTCTCATTTGACCCGAAACGAAATTATGAGCTATAGCTGCATATTAGTTATTCTAGCCCGAGCCAATACGAACCACCTACTGCTAGTTACTACGATTAGTTTCCTCGAGTTTTCGTTGCAACTGGTTACAACAAAATCATATTTTCCATGATGTGTTCTGTATTCCGATAATTTAGTCTATTTTTCTCTAGGTTCATTTGGTGACTTAATTTTCGTTTTCTTAAAATATGTCTGTGAAAACCAACTCTGATGAATTGATAGTTGAGGGGATGATATAACTTCCTCTTCACTGCCATAAATTAGCAAGAAAACCACTCGAGGCTTTGGCGTCCCTTCACACAAGGCCTGGATGTGATTTAGGCGACGACTGTTTGAAGCGATCAGCATTCAGCGGCATGCAAATTTGAGTAATTGACGCTCTGAAAGCGTCAGCACCTTTTTGACAAAGAGATGGGGAAAATGACTTGACACTCAAAGACTGAAGTTGAATCAAGTGCGAGGAATCCTTAAGAGTTGCATTGTCTACAGCTTAGAAGCCCTGATAGTTTCTGCAAGTTTTTAATTTTCTTTGCACTATTTGACGTTCATCATTTCTGCAAGTTAGATGTCCATTGGGATTCAGAGGTCACCACAACTGTATGCCAGCCAGTTTTACCTCTCTTTCCTTCTCTACCACAACATGCTTTTTTCATGATGATGAATTACTATGTTTTCCTACCATATTTGCTGGACCAGCAGAATAGATCAGTTAGTGGCGATTGGCTTTGCTTCGAACACAAAATGCTACAATTACTTTGGAGTTTGGCCTACAAATAAGCTAAAGGAATTTCCTACCCACCCCAACAGTGTTCTTCTCCTCAGGAGCATCCGAAAGGCCACAAGTAAAATTTAGAGAAATTTATGGAGTCAAATAATCATTTTCCCAATCAATGATTCAAAAATTTGAAACAAAAAATCAAATTTCAAGAAGAAAATAACTGCATGAGATGGTCATTTGCATTGGGATCGCAATAAATGTAACTCCAACTGATTAATAGAATAATTTAACAATCAAAGTAGTATATGTTTTCGATTATTTTTATTGCCCTTTGAGCAAAGAGTAGTTGAATTTTCATGCATAGGGTCCTAGACTCATAGTTTATACCTACCCTGTGTAAAAAGTCATACATTGTTTGTGCACAAAAGTGAAATTCTTTCGGTAAATCTTCTTATCCCAGTAAATAAAGACTGGGATCACACTGGTTATGTTGTCGTTTCATTGTAATGTCACCATGTTCCTATGATTTTTACATCGATCAACAGATTAGATCAAATAATTTTGATCAGCTTCCCTTAAATTAGCATACACGATGCGCTAATATCTTCGCAAGAAAAGGAAAATGTTATAGATCACTTAATTGTGGTCACCTCTGCTTAAATCACGATGCTATCCATTCGCCAACAAATAAGCTAAAGGATTTTCCTGTGCATCTCAATGGCGTTCTCCTCAAGTGCCCTCTCCCTCTATTTTTTTTTCTTGGACAAGTCCTCATTCGTTGACAGTCCCTCAACTGTTTAAGTATATGCAGGTCAAAATTTAGAGACCTCCAAATTATAGAATATCCTAATGTAACAGCTCCAGGTAGGAACAAGTAGTTTCATGTCACCCCCAACTAGCTTGGGATTGAAAAATAGTAGTTGTTGTAACTGCTGGCAACTTCCCAGCAGTTAACCATCAACACAGAACATCCACAAGGGCACAATAACGAATTAGGCGTCAAACGAAAATGTTCATATGCACGACACTCATTCAAGTAACTTTCTTCTTTGAAGCAAAAATATCATTCACATAACCACTTTGCTACGAAAACAGAAATCGCTTTATTTATGGAGTAAGTTCACGAGATCCATTCACTGAACAACCAACTGACTATTTGACCATCTAAGCGGAAGAAGATTTAGCAAGTGCTCCAGCCTCGGTTAGCAGAGGGACAAGTTTCCCTTCCCTGTGCAATGCAGTTGTCGCTGCAAATGAAAAAAAATAAGAAAATCAACTGCTGCATGAGTTCAGAAAGATCGATTTCAAAGTGCCTTTAGGATTATTTTCTCATAATTATGACTAGAATTTTCAACCATAGGAAAAGCAAAAAGGAAAAGGCGAAGATCATACCGTCGCAGCCACCAATGTGCTTCCCGCCAATGAAAACGTTTGGCACAGTGCGCTGACCAGTCCACTCAGCCAGTGCTGCCTGGATCTCACTTCCATCCTCTACATAATCAAATAGAATCATTAGGTTCAACAGACAAGAAATAACAGTAAGAAAATTGCACCAGTTTACTCACTTAGCTATCTGTCCTGAGAATAAATTCACAGTACACTGAAGAATATTGTTGGTTCGAAACTATGGACAAGGAATACATGCCAGAAACTTTATCCGTCAGATGAATAACAACTAAAGAGGCCATTTTAGACGGAGCAAATTGCTTAAACAACATTATTAAATAACTAGATTTTCCAAATTGCCTTGCATTGCTAGCAAGATGTATGATAAATCAATGATACATCTACACAATTATAACAATATGCACCAAATTTCGCTCCACACAACAATGAGAGGCTACATTTTTTCACATAGTTAACACAAAATCCAATTGACCAGTAGCTTATCTGGTGGTGATGTTAGGATTCGAGTTTTAGCCGACCACTACAGTCCTTCAAAAACAAAAGTACATTATCGACATAGACAAAAGCTTTGTGAGAATTGCATAGTACTAGAAATGAAAAAAGAGGACTGATATGTGTTGCTACAAGTAGTTTAAGTTTACTGAGCAAGCTAGCCAAACTTTTGTGCTAAGCGAGCTATATGACTAGTAAGGTAACCTGTGTCAAATCATGTGTTAGTGTAGCTACTTGCCTATATTGTCTTACAAACAGCTTGCTATACTCTTATTTTATTTTATTTTATTTTATTTTATTTTTGTAATGGTGGTTTCAGCCGTTCTCTAGCCATTCGGAAACCTCTCTGCCCTTCCGGGGCAGGGGAGTAAGGCTGTGTACATCTTACCCACCCCAGACCCCACTTGTGGGAAACTACTGGGTTTGTTGTTGTTATTGTTGTAATGGTGGTACTCAAACCAGCTTGCGCACCTCGACTATTCCATACTTGCCAACTCCCACCGGCACAAAATGTCATGTTACTCTATCCACAAGGCATATGTAGATGAGAAGAAATCACCTCGTCAACTTGCTATACTCTATTAGAGTCTCTTAGGTCTATCATAAGCAACAGAGGGAAAGTAGGTTTCTCTCTTGCGAATTGTTATCCCTCCAAACTATACCAAGTTCGAATTATAAAAAACAAACTTCGACTGTTAGAATGATGGCTATAAGATTTATTATCTAGCACAAAAAAAACCAATGCTAAATTTGCTTTCATAAAAAAAAAAATACAAAACGATTGACAATAGAAATTGCAAATCAGAAGCAGAGGCCTTACTTTCAGTATCTAACTCAACGGCCTTGAACGAAGCACCGAGCTTACTCAACAAATCCTTGACGCTAACGCAGAACGGACAGTATGTCTTGCTGCGAATTCAATTTACAACCATTTCAGATCAAACAAACATTTCAGATTTTTACAAAATACACAATTAAACAGATATAGAAATGTGACCTGAAGACCACGACTGGATTAGCAGAAACAATTTCCTTAGCCTTGGCAAGCGCCATTTTCAATCAATTTGCTTTTCAAGAAACCCTAGATTATACTGAAGAATTCCTACTTTTGGATAAAGAATGCTTTCCTGAAGCTCAATTTATAGAATTTGACACGACAGGTTATGGCCTTGCCGCAAAAGAAAGAAATAAAAAGACAAATTTGTCCCAAAATACTCTGGGCCCACAAGATTTATTAGACCGTGGCCGGCCAATTAACGACTCCAGAATATTTTAGTAGAAATGACATTAGGTAGCCAATTTTAAGGTCAAAATAGCACGGTATAGCCAGTTTTCGGACTGGTCAATCAAAAATAGTCATCGTTTATGAGGTCAATGAAAAATAGCCACTATTCTGCTGCAACAGAGACCGGTCCCGTATAATATACGGGAGTTCGGTACATCTGTGTACGAACTCCAGCATATTATGCTGGACCGGTATACTTCGCTGACTCCTATATAATATACGGGAGACTGGAGCACCGGTGCTCCAAACTCCAGTATATTATACTGGACATTTATAGTTGCTGGAACTCCCGTATAATATGTTGGAACTCCAATATATTATACGGTCGTATTTTTCGAGTTTTGAATAGTGTTTTCGCTCAGATTTATCTTTACATGAAAAATGGCTAAATTTCGATTACTTTTGAAACTGTGGCTATTTTTGAATGACCAGTTGTAAATCTGGCTATTTTTAAATTTTTCCCGTATGTATAATGTTTAAAATATATTTATGTTGTACAATATATTTAAATATTAGCCAATTCGCTTAAATTTCAGGTCATGCATCCTGCAAGGTTCAAACTTTAAGAAATCGTGTCATAAGTTCGAAAATTGTGTCCAGATATTTGAATCTTATGTCCTGAATTTCGAATTGACAGCTCAAAAATTTAGGATACATAATTTCAGAATACTTAATCCTAAAATTTGGACAATTTTGACTAATTTTTAAATATATTTTAAATAATAGATTTGAAAATGATTACTAGTGCACTTCGCCCGCTATTATTGTAGGTTCAAATTCTTGAGAGGATTAATGGCTGGACCGACATTAGGTTCGTCAGCTCGTTCGCACGCACAAACGTAAAAATTTATCAACTAATACACGATATTCAATTGTCGTCACTACTTACGTAAATGACTATGCTTTTATATTAATTGTTTACAACAGATGAATAACCAGTTTGTTCAAAAATTTTAAGTCTGAAAATGGTGGTCATATTCGGTTGATATAGTATATTGTGTAAATTAACAAGATACGAAAGTGGTTGTATTTTAATTGTCTTTTGGTAATGTAGAAGTCACAGACCACCTCTACATCTGGTAAGAAATTCCTGCATTGACCTTGGACTTTTTTTTTTGTTTTGACCTTGGACTTCATTAGTTTATTTAAACTCAACCATTTAAATTTTACGTGTTTGAAATTTTATGTATTTCATTTAGAAGGCTACTTTTTTAATCTGTTTGAGGCATTAAAACAACAATAACAACAACAACAAAAAAAAACTCAATAATTTCACACAAGTGGCATCTGAAAATGGTAAGATGTACAGAATCTTACTCCTATTTCTGGAAGGGCAAAGAGACTGTTTCCGATAGACCTTCGGCTGAAGAACGAATAAAAAGGTAATGGCAACAAGTAGAAATAACAACAAGATAAAAATAAGATCGAAGTCAAGAAAGCAATTAAACTCTAGGCAGTAATATCAATCTATGAATAAAAGGATATCAAGTTATTTGTGGCATTAATATGTTTATATTAAAAAAATTATACTAGTTGAGGCATTAATACATGTGTTCCTTAAGGTCCTATAAGATTCCATTGTTTTTTTTGGTGGAGGGTGACTTAAGTAAAAAGGACAAGTAAAAGCTTAACGTGCAACGGAGAAGTAACAGAAACAAAAACCCAATTGCGAAAGTGTAGCACTATCCACTGAGCTACATATGCCCAGAGTCGAGAGGTCGACACATGAAGAAATCACATACTTCTATTTAAAAGAGTCATTCCTTCATGTGGAGACTTGACTTGTTTCGGAAATAGTAGAAAAGACCATTAGTTAAAACACCGGCACAATGATATAAAATTGACAAATGGACGAGAAATGGCATTTTTATTTGAGGATTTTAAGAGTCACCAGCATGAATCACTCAAAGAGATGTTATTTCCTATCGGAGCGATTACAGAAACTAGTATAAAAGAATCTCCATTGGCGGCGTATAGATTTATGTTCACTGTGAAGGGTATGAGTAGGAAGCAAAAAATATGTGATGATTTGCTGCTCATGATCTGTTTCAGCTCATACAATTGCGGAGGCACCAAGCTTCTCTTGAAGTTTCAGTGCTACAGCATCAATAAATTCTTCAGTATTCAAGTAGTGTTCCCTTGATACCCTGCACAAGTATAATCACTCAGAAATTGAGCTTCCAAAAACT